GGTGTTTAATGGCACTCTTCTTGTGTGGGCAGCAGTTGATCGCATGGGTTTTTCCTTCTGTCAGGAAAACAAGAGTGTCGTGGGTGCGTAGGGCTGGCTGCTGCTGCCGTCTTTGCTGGAGGGCTGTCATACTTGAAGCGTGCAGCTTGATTTAACTAAAATTTTGAAAGTAACCAAACGTAGCATGCGCATAGGATATACAGGAGTTTGACTGACTTTTTCCTATGCGTGATGGGCAATGAGCTTACAAAGTGTACTTGGAAACATTGTTGATGTGGTTAAAGTTTCGTTAAACTAAGACAGTTCGATGGTGTAAACGTTTCTGAAGAAATAAATGTACAAATCATGCTATGGAATATCTATATTAGCTTTAAAATTGTGCCTATGCCTAAGTCTATGTATGAGCTATATCAACAATGTTTATTAACTATGTTCAGGCGTAGATAACCTAGGTCTGCATCTTTTGGATGGAGATTATTTTGTTTAGAATACTTCAAAAACAAAAGAAGAACTCTGAAATGTTCTTGCTTCTGGAAAAGTACATGGGTCTCAGAAGGTGCTTATGAATTTTAGAAAAATAATTCACTGCTCATAAAGTTTGTAACTTTTATTTTAAATTTTTTTGCAGCCCTTACAATCTTCAGCAGTGTCTTTTACACACCTCTTTTTCATTGTATAGTGCTTATGGTAAGAATAGACTGGCCATACCTTTTAGTATAATCAACAGGTGTTCAGATTTGGGCTTTTTTTTTTGCTTTCAAGTCACAGTTCTGAGAAGATGTCTGGGGTTTTATGCTTTAATACTTTTTGAAGCCTTGACGTGATATCTGTGATGCTCCAAAGAGTGTATACAAAGAGATTGCAGAATTGAAGATCTCTCTAGATAAAGATCTCATTGTGTAACATTTGAATGCAATGGTACGTGATAGCATTTCTATCAGTTTTTTGATATGTCAACCTGGTATTTTTCAATGAAAAATCAGCTTGCTTCTAAAATAAATCCTTTGTATTCTTTGCTGTGTAGAAGTACATTCCTGCATAACAATTCACACAATTGTATTGAGAGGTTTATGAAAATTTTTTTCAGTGTCCTGAGGGAAAAACTAGAAGAGAATCTGATAATGATTTCTTTCTGTCTTGACTTTTGGTTCAAAAACAGGGATGTTGTGGAAACACAAGAGCATTATAAGAGCAGGTGGCGATCCATCTGGATTATGTATCTTACTATGTTTCTCAGTAGTGTAGGTGAGTAAAACACAGGTGGATTTCAAAGTTACTTGCTTAATGATTATATTTTGGTTTGAAAATTACAGGGTTTTCTAGATTTCAGCTACATAGCTCCTTTAATGCTACTGTTCTTTTATAACCTTAAAAAGGTGCATTTTCTGATTCTTCAAAAGAGAAGATATGACTAACAAATTAAACAAAGTTAAAATTAATAAGTTAAATAATACTCTGTTTTGAGATGAAATGACGTATTACTTAAATCTTTGGTTTATGGCTCTCTGGTAGTTCGGGGTAAAAGGTAGTGGCAGGGTAAGGTTATTGCTCAGAACCAAACAAAACAAAGGTCACAATTTTATCATCCAAAGTGAAAGTTCTAGAGAATAAAACCAGAAATAATGCTGAGTTCTTAAGAGGTAAGATCTTTGTGGGAATGTATGTTATCTATTTCAAAGTGTGTGTGGGATCTTAATTTCTGCTACAGGATTTTGCATCTCCACTGCAGAACAAATTACTGCTTCGTTCCTAAATAACTGCCCCTAGAAACAAGACTTCTGTTGATTTTTGACTTCTGATGACTTTGTGTGGGCCTAGAAATGATCTTGAAAATCATAGGATACTTCAGTGTTGTTGTTGGTTCATTGTTTTTTTAATTTGATAAATTAAAATTTCTTTAATAAATGGATACAAATATATCAGTATGTCAAGACATTCTTTTTACTCCGGGGACCTTGTTGTCTTTCCATTGGGAGGAAAAATCCCATGCAGTTTGCTTGGCGCATCAGTATTCTCTTCATAGGAGTTTTTTTGTTTAGTGTGTACGCGCCTATAAAATGTCCTTTGAAAAATAGTTCCTTCTGTTAGGAAGAATTATCACTCCTTAAAAAGAGCACATAATACATAGGTTTTTTGAGTGACATACTGATGCATCGTTTTAGACTATAATACACTGGGGAGCAGAAGAAAGAACCTGTAGTAACTGTTTCAGTGAAGCAAACTACTGATAAACATGACAGATAAAGTAATTTATGTTTTTACTGCATTGCAGGTTTCTCAATTGTAATTATGTCTGTCTGGCCATATCTCCAAAAGGTTTGTAAATGTATTTTTTTTAATTAATAAGAACAGAAAACTCCTGCTTAGAAAGTATGTAATACAAAACTTGGCATTTTATTTAGGAAAAGAAACAGTAAGGGGAAGTGTGTGGTTATAAGAGACTTTTATTTTGTCATCCACTTAGACAGCTTTCATCATTTCATGTAAAATCTGTCAGCTGATGTCCTGGATTGATAAAGGTATATCATAATCTGGAAATGTTTGATTTTCCAATATAATTCCACTGTTTTCTTGGACAACAAATCAATAGAAGTCTCTTTATCTGAATGCATTTGTAGTGTTAAAACATAATACGCAAGTGTCTACATTTTGGGGCGGGGGGGGAAAGGGAAGCTGAAGGTAGAAGTTGCTCTGTAAATGTTAGATTGTTGCACGTAGACGTTCTTGATATTCTTTACAGGGAATTGCCTGTGTTCCTGGAGAGTGTTTTGAGTTTGTTCGGGTTTTTTTCCCTCTTTGTTGCATTCTTGTTAAAAGTGGCATAAAAGGTCTCTAAAACTCCAAGTTAATATGTGCTAGGATTTTCCTGCTCCTGAAATTGTAGAAGGCAGTTTCAAATGCAAATTTGGAAGAACGTATCCTGGGCAGGGTCCTAGAGGTATCGTTAAAATTGAAGCTGGTGCTGAACTCTTGGAGTTCAAGAAAGAAAATGCATCGTCAGCATTGTAAACCAGGCCAGATTCAGGCATGTGCAGAGATGACTTAAGTGATTCCTTGCTCCTGGCCTGTAAACTGTCAACTGTACTGCTTAAGGTACGTCTGCAGCCTGTAGCATCAGCAGTGCTATATGGAAACCGAGTTTGCTGCAAGCGGGCCATTTCCAGTCTCAGAAGGAAAGCACTTTTTATTGGTTTGGTGCATTGCTGGGAACAGTTAGCCAAGGTTTATTGCCCTGGACAAAGTGCTATGTGAAAACAACTGCTTTTGAGACCCAGAGTGGTGTATTTATATTAAACACCGCACAGTGCTGTGCAGACACACTAACTTGTTTAGCAATAGCTTAGGTTTGACACTGCGTTGTATAGTGCCATATACCCTCAGACTTACAGTGCAGAGTCTTAGGTATTTCAGGTACTGTTTCTAAAATGGTTTTGTTGATATTATAAAATACTGTAATATTTGACCCATAGAAATGATTAATTTGTTTTTGCAGATTGATCCGACAGCAGATGCGAGTTTCTTGGGCTGGATTATAGCTTCATATAGCATTGGCCAAATGGTTGCCTCTCCCCTGTTCGGCTTGTGGTCCAATTACAGGCCGAGGAGAGAACCTCTCGTTGTTTCAACTGCTATTTCAGTAGCTGCTAACTGTCTTTATGCCTACGTCCATGTACCTCATTCACACAACAAATACTACATGCTGACTGCACGTGCTCTCGTGGGATTTGGAGCAGGTAACCACAGCAGAATTTGCATTTCTGAAAATTATTGAATTCTATGACTTGTGTAAGATAGTTAACGTGGTATTTTAGTACCACATTTAACATTATGTGAATGGTAACTTACTACTTAACAAAGCAAAGAGTTGGCCAGTACTAGTTTATAATAAAATTATGTGTTTGTGCAGTTGTGTATAAATACTCGAGGGAGTGCTGGGTTTTATTTTCTTGCAAAATAAGATTAAAAAAAAATAAAATAAATGTAACTGGATAATTTAAGAATATAACTTAGTATTTACATGAACACTTTGTTGTGTTTGGTTTTTTTTAAGGAAACGTGGCTGTAGTTCGATCATATATTGCAGGTGCCACTTCTCTTACGGAAAGAACAAGTGCCATGGCCAATACCAGTGCCTGCCAAGCAGTTGGCTTCATATTAGGACCAGGTAAAGGATATCTTCTTTCCTCACTTCGAATACTTTTTACAATGAAATTGGGCAGTGGAAGTAGGAATCCTCAGCAGCTGTATGTTGGGGATTTTAAGGCATAGTTTGTCAGTGGTATCAAAATTTGATAAATAGGATCCACTCATATATACTTTTATATGCCAATATAAATGAAATATTCTAGTCCAAAGAAATTCTAATTGTTTGTAGTTAAAAAGTAGCTGTTTTGGCTTGCTGGCTGCAGGAAAAACAAGTTCCAATATGCTCTCTTATACCAGTACCCACTAAATAGTCTATAACTACACAATTGCACTTTATTCAGGCAGAAGGGAGTTTAACATTACTGTGCTCAGGGAAACATTTCCACCTCTCCAAAATGACTGAAAATTTCACCTTGCCTCACACGTTATAGAAAATAACATCCAACAGATCTTTCTCATCTTGTAGTGACAATCACAAAATCTTCATTTTGGCAAAAACATTAAGACATAGCACAGGTATTACAGCAAGCTAAGGGAACAAAGAGATCAGGGGGTGTTTGTTAGATCAGGTGTAACTGTGACTCCTGAGATCCTCTGCCTGCTTCATGGGAGAAATGCGTTAGACTTGCCTTGTGTTGTAAAGAAAGACCGGCAATTTTGTCCTAAACAGCCTCTACTGATTACTTGTCTTCTGTAGCTGGAGATTAAAATTATCCAATTAGTAAAGCTGAAGTGCTCTGTGTATGGTAATACAATGAGGTGAAGGTTTGGGGCTGAAAGTGTTCGAGTTGATAGAGCATTAAAGGGTCTACGGCAACAAAAAATCTGCATTCTTTGTGTGATTTGCATAGAGGATAAGTTTAGGTAATTCCCTTTCCTGATTTGGTAGGACTCTCAGTCTTCCTAACAGTAGTAAGCAAATAACCTGATCTTACAATCTTTTTCTCTGCACCAATTTAAATTTTAATTAAAAAACCCCCCACAACTTCTTTTTCTCTCTAGCTTGCCCTTAGCAGGAGGGATAGTCCAGTCCCAGGACCAAGGTCTTCCATGTAGGAGGAAGAGGAAAAAGGGTAAATCAGGTGTCTGCACATGACCAAGAAAATTAACCGTTGGTACACTCAGAATTCAGTTCCAGTTCTTTGAGTGTCATGCTGTTATTTATACAGTGTATTTGTATGTAACCAAGTAGTTTTCTGGCTAGTTGAGATCCCACTGGTACCCATTAGTTTATTTAGAGTAGGGTTCTCAAAATGTAAAAGGTTTGACAGGTGTAATATTTAAATTTTACTTAGCAATTAGAACAACTTTGCTTATCTGGTTTTAGATGTTTATTCTATATGTGTTCTAATATTTTCTTAATGATTCTTAAGATTTTCTTAATACATTTATGTTTTTAAGTTTTTCAGACATGTTTTACACTTATTGGAGAAGAAGGAATAACATGGAAATTAATTGATCTTCAGCTGAACATGTATACAACACCAGTCTTATTTGGAGCTCTCTTAGGACTTATTAATATTATTCTCATCTTTGCCATATTCAGGTAAGCAAGTCAAAAAAGAGAAATATTCTACCTTGTTTTAGTGGGTGGCTTGTAACAAACAATATGCTGCTCAGAAGGAGGAGTAATAAGCCTGAAATCTGGAGCACTAAGACTATAAGCTGTTATTTATTTTTCAGGGTTTCTACCTTCTTTACTACATATCTTTTTCATTATGCTCATAAATTAATCATAGTAATGGTACAGCTAGAATATAAACTGATGAAAAAAGTTAGAGCTGTTAGATTATTAGCTTAGCCTTGATACATTTTTACTCTTGATGGTTTCTGCCCATGTTTTTTCTCTAAAGAGAAATAAAGTTAGCTTGTCTGTAGGGTTCTCACTGTCTGTGTCTTTCCTTTAAGAATCTCGAGAGGGGGGGTTTATGCATGATCCTATTGGTGGCAGTGAGGGGAGGGAAGAGATACACACAGATATGTGATATTCTCTCACTAGGATATTTTCTTTCTTGAATATGGTGATGTTCACTGTAGCCAAATGTAGACTACACAGATGACGTTTAAAGGAGCTGGGAATGATTAGAATATGAGATTATGCCATTTAGAATTATTTTAATAGAAACTTGACTCAATAGTGGATCAAATAAATATGTGTGTTAATGAAAATTGTTCTAAATTTCTAGAGAGCATCGAGTGGATGACGTGGGACGGCAATGCAAAAGTATCAATTTTGAAGGAGAAGGTATCTAAGTTTTCTTGAAGATTTACTCTGTGATGATAATTTTGAAGTACTCTGTTATTATATAGAAGCATTTAGAAGTATTCTCAAGTCTGATGGATTGGGAACTCAAAGTGGCAAATAGGCTACATCTCTTTCTAACTGGTCCAGAAATTGCTTCATGTCCATTTTGTGTCCGTATATGTCCATAGTGCTGTCTGATAGCAAAGAAGAAGAAAAAAAATTGTATGGATCCTTCCAGATTTTCATGCTGGAACTGTCTGTTCCAAGAGACAGGATTAAGTGAACATGGACATCAAAAAAATCTCCCTTAACTTCTACTCTGCAGTCATACTTCTCTTTGGTTCTGTATCATGCTGAATAATATTGTTATATATATACCAGCTTTCACATACAGCATCTTAATAAAAGGTGTATGTTGCATAAGTAAATTTAGTTGGTGAGATGAAAGTACAGTAATTGCCACATACAGTGCAACATCTTATATTCAATATATACACTTTTTGTACACAGTTGAAATTTTAAGTGTTGTGAGTATCCTTTTCACTTGAAGAATAAAAAGTGTATGAAAGATGATCTTAAACCTCTTTTAAAAACTATGGAAGTCACCAGTTTCAGTATTGTATTAATTTTCCATTTAAAAACGGAGCTGTATGTGCGCAGCACACATGGGTGTGTTGTCTATGAAAATGTTACGCGCAGGTTAGAGGAACAAAGGCTCTGTGGTGGTGCAGAGAATTCTGTTGTGTACTTTTGACCTTGCAAGAGGAACAGAAAGTGGTTTGGTTTCCATTGTTAAGATGTTTAAAGAAGTTTTCTTCTTTTTCTGTCACTCAGAACTTGACAGTCCCCGCATTACAGTGGGACAACAGATGGTCTAACTAATTTGGAAATCATTTTCCCTCATTGTCAGAGGAATTGAAATTTCAACAATTCCATTTTGATTTAAAAACATTATACTTAGATTGTCAAAAGAGAACTGCATAGGCACCCACCAACCTGCATGCTAAATACTTAACAGAGTAAGAAAATCATTACTGTTTGCGATTTGTGGTTGTGTAAAAAAAGCTCAGTTTGCAGTACAGATTATTCTTTTGTTTTGTTGCAGAAAGCGGTGATCTGGATCAGGACATAGAAGGAAACATAGACCATGTTGCTGTGGTAGCAATCAATTTTCTTTTCTTTGTCATCTTGTTCGTGTTTGCTGTCTTTGAAACGTAAGTTTGTTTTCTCTCAAAATACTTAGACATGTAATATAGTTAGACTAGGTGTGCATGTAAAGGCTTTTCTGTTGTATGCATTTTCTTAACCGTACTCTTCAGAAATAGAAGTCCAAAACCATATGCAATCAAATTGATGTGTACTGATATAGGGTAATGCATTAAAGGTCAGTAATAACTGAAAATATGTAGCATACCGTTTGTAGTATATGAAACATTAATGTAAAAGCTTTTGAATGGATGCAAACCCATATCCTCAACTTTTTAAGTGTTTTAAGTAACTTAATTTGGGCTACCTAAAATCTTCAGAGAAAACTGGCTTCAGCTGAATACCTTGTTCTATACTTTCTATTTTAATTTTGTGTAATTTCTTAGTATGATTCTGGTTAGCTCCAAAAGCTCCAGAGAAACTCTTAGTAATGATTATTTCAGAAATTATGAAAACAGTTGTTTGATGTAGTTAATGCAATTGTGTTCTTAAATACACTATTTTACATTTTTTTTTTTTTTTACCTAAAGCAGTGTGTTATTCACTCCCAAATTTTCTGTATATAAGAAAAAAAGTAAAACATAACAACATTACCTCAGACTGAAGTATACTTCCTTTTTTTTAATTTATAAAGTACTTTGAGGATCTAAGGTTTATTTTGTAAGATTTTATTGATCTCTATCATAGCTAAAATGTCTTCTAACAATATGCATCTTAATTGCATTATTTTTAGAAAACTGAGTTCCTAGAGACTGGTTAGTTGCTAAAACTGAAACAGTATTAAATGTTTATTATTTTTATACTCACAAGGCCTGATTTTTTTTTTCCTCTATTACTATTGCTTTGCTTTAACTCCATCATCTTTTCATGAATGATGCTTCAGAGCATGGCTGGTGTAATGTAGTTGTGAATTTTCTCTAGTGGATTTATTTTTAATAAATGATGCATGACAGAATTAGTTTATAACTAGCCTGTGTTTTCTGATATGTCTGTCGGGAGGAAAGGCTTTTATGCCACTGTGTTTGATGTTTGGGACAATATATGTATGGAAATGGCTGCATAGAAGATGGAGGGTTTTTTTAATTAATGTCATTTTGTTCTCTCAATTTAGTATAGCTACTCCGTTGACAATGGATATGTATTCCTGGACCAGGAAGGAAGCCGTTTTTTATAATGGAATAATCCTTAGTGTGGTTGGCATTGAATCGGTTATTGTTTTCATGGTGGTTAAAATGCTATCTAAAAAGTAAGTTTTTGGAGTTTATCGAAATTTTGTAACTTACATTAGCTGAGTGTGAGAAACTTTATGGCAAGGCTGAATCTGCATTACTTAAATCTTTTACTTGGTAATGAATTTAGGTTTACTATGACAATGAAGTACTTCCAATTTTGACACAGCCATGATGCTGTGGTTGTTCTTTATTCTGTTAACATAACCCCCTTCCTTGTCTGCCTTTTACCTTTGAATCACAAGAAAAACTGGTTGTAGGTTACTGTGAGTTTGCAATTTTTATTGCAGGTGTTTTGGTCAGGCATCTTTTCAACAAACTAATGGACTATGTCAATAGCAATTTCAAAAATTTTACTTTAATTAAATAATATATTTAATTGTAATTTCATTGTTTGATAGGACTGGTGAGCGTGCCATACTTCATGGAGGCTTAATGATTGTCTTGGTTGGATTCTTTATCTTACTGCCTTGGGGGAAAAAACTACCAAATATCCAATGGGAAGGTATAATTCAAGTCATACTAAACTATCATCATCATGGTTTTTTAAAGCTTTTTATTGTATTTTTTCTTAATGGCATGCATAACTTATTTTTACAGAAATAAAGAACAACTCTATTCCCAGGACAACTTCCACTGAAATGTTAATGCCTTTCTGGAGTTTGCAAGCAATGCAGCTTCCATCCAACCACACAGTGGAACCCGTAGGCTGCCCTGTCACACAGTCTTGGTGCCTGAATACTCCTATGATCTATCTGGCCCAGTATATCAGCTCTGACATACTGATAGGATTGGGCTATCCCGTTTGTAATGTCATGTCCTACACTTTATACTCAAAAATTCTAGGACCGAAGCCTCAGGTAAGCATGATGCCTAAACAGTTTATTTCTTTCATTTGCTCACCAGGACTTTCAGCCTCGTCATTAGAATGAGGGATGTAGCTAAAATTCCTTTTGTCATTAGCCAAATAATAGTACGTTTCAACTGGGGCAGAAGTTTGCAGGAACTTTAATCTCTTTTAAAATCCAAGGCAAGTCCCTAGAGGAATTAGAAAGCAAGGCTTGTTCTACAATTTATGGCAAATCTTACACTGTGAACATTTCAGAACAAGTAAGCCCAAAGCTTGTGGCTTTCACGACTGTTCCGGAATAGTCATTTTTGTAACAACCAATTATATATTTGGAATGTCAGTACGGAATAATACGTTGCTTTTACTGAGTATATTATATAAAGACTACAAATGCTATGATACCTCCAGTTATTGACATTTTACAATGGTGAAACACATAGCAAGCTGATATTACTGCTTAACAAAAAATTTTCTTCCTTTCTCACCACTTATCTCATTTTGCTCATGTTCTATCTTGCTGTAAGAGACTAAATGCTTTGAGCCAGAATGCTTTTTTGTTAGAAATCTACAGAGTATGTAGCTCAGTGGAGCCTTCAAATTAATGCTTAGAGAAGCTGAGCAGTACTCTTGGAAAAAAAGTACTCAGCATCTTAACAAGTTAAGAAAGATAAACAATTGCTTAAACACTTGTAAATTTTGTAACTAGGATAATTGGTGGGAATTATTGACAAGCTGAGTAATTCCTGTATCATTAACATAAGCTTTTGCTCTTCTGTAGGGTGTCTACATGGGATGGTTAACTGCTTCTGGAAGTGGAGCACGAATTCTTGGGCCTGTTTTTGTGAGCCAAATATACACTCACCTGGGACCACGTTGGGCATTTAGCTTAATCTGTGGAGTAGTTGTAGTCTCTCTCTTGCTCTTGGAGATAGTATACAAGAGACTAATTGCATTTTCTGTCAGATACGGAAGGATACGAGAAGAGAACTGTTAAATATGTTTGTTTTTTTTTTTTAAAAAAAAAGTAAAACCAACCAGAAATAGTACTTAGTTTATTACTGCTTTTTAATGAGGAGTACCTAACCACTGACCTTGTTGGCTGTATGCTAAAAACTGTACACCTGTACTTACACATTGACAGAACACATAACTTGGTCATATCCTAATATATGGTTACGCCTGCTGCAATAGAGCTTTTGTATTCTGCTTTTCTAGCAGCAGAGGAAGGGATGTGAACAAGTTAGATCAATACAATGGCACATTTGAAGTATGTACAGTTTAGATGATGCACCTGCATACTGAATGCAGCTGTGAAGGTCACAGGTTACGTCCATCCTTTCCAGAAAGAAGTAAAAGAAATATTATCTTGATTCTGTGAATCAGGATTAGTAACTCTTTTGTAACTACAAGATTAGTTGAGCTGCATGCACTTTGTATGGAAACATCACTACTTAAGTGAACCTTGTGGTGTTCAGTTTGCTAGCTTGTAAGACTGGTTAATATAAAAACATTTGACTGACTTTGGAAACTGTTACCTATCAGTACATCTTCTCCAGGATTTCAAATGAAATGTGACAGAATTGTAGAGGAAGGTAGGTGCCGACTTCACAAGCAGTTTATGTGGGACTTGGGTATTTAAGTTGGTTAAGAGCCATTGAAAATCACAGCCTCAGTGGCTGTTACTTGAACTACAGTGAACCATATGTGCAATTTTTCTTCTACTGTTTTGCTGAATGCCTTTTTGTAGCAAGAAAGATAGCTTGCACAGAGTTGAAATATGCACAGCTTTTCTTAACTTTACTACAAGAAGGAAATACTAAGCATGATAGTTTACACTTTCATTGTAATTTGTGAAAAGGAATGCACTGTGCTGAACAACCCGTGTTAATTAAGTAAAAAGGAGGATACTGGCTCCTCAGGTGTTGACTATTATCTGTAGGCTTATCTTCTTTCTGATAACATGGTATGAGAAACAGGACTTTACAATGTTTGAATCATTCAGTGTTTATTTTAAAAAGTAAAATAATTTTCCTTCATCATGGGGCCTAAACTCATCTGTATGGGTTTGTTTTATGTGTTTCAATACTACTGGGGAAAAAATCTGGAATAACTCCAGTATGAGAGTTGTAGCTGCTATTACATGTGTCTAATATTTGATGCTTACTGAATTTAATAAATGTAATTAAGTACTCCTATGTAATCAGTTGTTCAAACACTAAAAGATTACTGAATTAAAATATTATTTTTTCAATACAGACTGAAGGGAATACAAAAGTTTTATTCTCTCTGACTTTCCTGCTGCAGAATCACAAAATGTTATGAGAAAGGATTTGCTTTTATAAGCATTTCTTGTATATGCTAATTCATATTAATAGTACCGGAAATACTATGTTTTGGTTCTGTTCACAAAACAGAGCGCTTATAGTTACCGCAAGTGAAAGTTACCTCGGTCGTGAGAAATTGGTGCTATTGGAGTTTTCAAAATGGCTAACATAGTTAGGATTTTGTGTTCTACAGCTTGGTTTGTGCTGAATGTATATATGTTGGAGGGTTCTTCCCTAAAAAGGGGTAGCCCGTACACACTAACATGTTTACATAATGATTAGAATAAGAAAGGAAGGGTTTTAATTCTTTGGCCATGAGAGTTGTTTTTATTTTCCTAGGTCAGCTGTGTTTTAAACTATGGCTTCCTTGTTATGGATTATCATCCTCTCATTCTTACAAAACACAGTCTTGTTATTCACAGGTAGGGCTTCTATTTTTTTCTTTTTATTCTAGTTAGCAATGTAATGTAACTGCACCTAAGTCACACTCTTCCTTTCAAGCTAGCTGATTGTTCTTTCTAAGCGTTTATGCCTTTCTGCTCTCTGGTGTCTACCTCTTAGGCTGTCTTCAACTATTTGTACATCAAATAGCTTGCACATCAAACTAGATTATATCATGTCTGAAGTAAAGATAATCAGTATGACTGATTGCTGACCCCCATCTTATTACAGTTGACTTGCTACTTTAAAAGATTAAAGTAGTAAAACAAAACATTTCTTTTAAGAAAGCCGCATTTGTGTGAATGTGCACATGTTTGTATCTACAGGTATATTTAAAAAACCTTAAGAGTCTAAGAGCTATGCGTACTACTTGGTTTATCAAAGTTAAGTCATTTTACTCTGCAGTCATTCCCTCTGACTATTAAGGTCCAACTTGAGAAGGTACACTTGTCAACTGAAAGAGCAGTTAAAGAAAAAAATTCCTTTTTAAGTGCTGCTTTTGTATCTTTCTTGATGTTCACCTTGCCAATAAAGAATTTGGCATGAGATTTCCTTGATTTGGACATGACAAAAATAATCAAAATTGTCTCTAATAGAGACCAGATGAATAAGGAGAACTGACTTGAAGTCAAGGGTATTTCAGCTCTAAGCTGAGCCTGCAGATCTGAAAAAGCTATGTTGGAATATCTCTTTCTGAAGGTTTTACAGCTTACTTTATTGTGCCTAGACCACATGTGAAAGCCACCACTGTCAGCTCCTCAAACTCTCCATCCTTCCCCTCACTGACACCTTTTTGGATCCCACTCTTGCACTCAACTTTAGCCAACTCCTACCTTAGAAGGAAGGTGGAATATTTATTTAAGTATGAACATACTTGAAGCAAAATGCTTAAAAAAACCCCCTTGTTGTTAAAGCTACTTCAGATTGTTGTGTGATTCATAATGTGAAAGACAAGATAAAAGTATCTAACGTTAATAAAATTCATACAAAGTAACAAACTGAAGCAGTTACTACAGTATGTGTAGTTCACTTTCCTATCAAATGTGCTCCTGGTTTTAGTCAGCTGTAGGCCAGAGGTAAAATACTGAATATACAAACACAGTGCAATTTTTCAGAAGTAATTTCGTACAACATTTTTGTACTGTTTCTCCCCAAGCTTCACCCAGCCCTAAACTCCCAACATACAATGCTTTAAGATATCAGATCAGCTCCTGTTATAAATTGAGCTTAATACTTACAAGGAAAGGTCTCTCAATAAACCATCACTTGAACATAAACCAAATAAGTAGATCTGGGCAATTACCACTGCATTTATTTTTTTTTTTGTATAAAATGCCGGTGCAGGGAAGTTAAAGCTGCTGCTACAAAAAATAAAAACAGTCATAAAACATATACATATTTACATATATTACTTGTAAGACGTAAAAAATACAAGTTATTTACAAATACAAACACTTCAAAAGCACAGATACATTTTCCTTGATTGTTGGCACTGAGTAAGCAGTGAAGGAAGAAAAAAATACAACAGATTCAGATTACTTCCAAAAAGTTGATACTATCTAGAACTAAGTTGCTCAAAGTTTTGCTTGAGCAAGTTTATCCATCATTTTAAGGAAAATAATTTTTTGTATGATACTTCACAAGCAATTTGCTACACATAAACAGGGCAACCCTTCCCTTCCTGATTTTTTATCAGCTTTTGGAAGAATTCCTGCATAAGCTGAGTAAGATCAGTCACATCACTTGAAAGTGAGTGAGTGAGTTTATTAAGCTCTTGTGTCCTGACATCTGCTTTGCTTTAATCAGTGGGGACCAGCTGGATTGGTAAACATCACCAGAATAGAAGACAGACAGTGCAGCTTCTCTTTGATGTATTCTGGCAACTTATCGTTTTCTCCATACCTAGAAAGGCAAATAAGCAGAGAAAAATTTAGAAGCTTAAAATAATTCATTTTATTTCAGGACAGTGTAATTATTTCAAAACTTGCATGTAACCACTAATTCAAGTAGATTTTAAGTGTATCTCGATCCATTAATTGAAGCTTGATGCCTTACATCCAGGCTCCCCCTTCCCTATATGTATTTAACTGAAAGAAGTGCTTCAGACTAAGAAAATACCCAAACAATGTTTAAAACTGCAATAACACCTGAACATACTGTATATTACTGCCTCAGACTTTGCACAGAGGAAGCATGTTACTGAGTGGCCATATTTGTATGGGAAGTGCCCAGTGTCCAAAAGAGATGCTAAACTTCACCTGAGCACTGCAGGTCTATGCGTCAATGTTGGCATGCTGTCTTCCTAATCAAGCAGGGTCTTGGGGGGAAGTATTAAAACCTTACTGTTCTCCCCCACCTTTTTAAATACTGTACCTGAATAGTGGCTATAGTCTGGAGACCAAGTAGATGCATTCCCAACTTTTTTTTTATTCATTTGTTATCTAGTGAAAGCTTTAGGTGTTTCTCTTATTCATTAAGTTTATAAGCTAATCAATTGAGAAGTGATTGAAAAGCTAAGTTTTAATATTTACAGAACAAAACTAATAGCAGCTATGAAGTTTACCTTATGTATAACAGCTTTGCGCTGACAGTAACCTGAACTGTTTTTGTAGCAGTAACAGACTCACCTAGTTGTCTGGCCATCTGGAGATGTGTAAGTGATAGAAGAAACACCTGCTTGGGCTACCAGTTGGGATCCATCATTAAACTGAACCCATACTGCTCCACTGGTCAGCTAACAAGAGAAGTTGCATTATGGTTTGAGGACATAAAATACAAGATTACATACCTAGAATTTTTCTAATAATTGAAGCTGAAAGTTTTTCAGAATTGCTTAAGTGACTCAGGTATCCTGGTCAGTCTTTTAAAGACAAAGATTGCAGGTATACTACACTTTGAAGTAAGTAGTCTCATGCAGTATCAAGAATCAGACTTCCTAAGGTTTCAACTACTCAGCTTTAGTCATCCTTTTCAATGAGGGTTAAATAAAGAAGTACCTTTAGCTTAACCACTCCTAAAGAAATTTTAAATAGGACCAAGCATACGATAAAAGGCCTATTTGTGAGAGTTCACAGCTATATATATTTTTAAGTTTATATACATAAAGCAAACTTTTTCTTTTAGGACAGGACGCCTACTTTATCTGGATTGCAGAGAACCATTTTTTAAATCTAAAGCTGGTCCCACAGAAAAGCAGAGGAAAGATTTTTCTGTAAGGAAACAGCTTTTCCTGTTATATGGGCAGATTCATTTGTCTTGTACAGATCTGGTGCGTATCTTTGTCATGACACCTTTAGATCTACGTTAGTGAACA